TACCAGATTGCATTCCCACCAGCAGTGTGGGAGAGTTCTTTTTCCTCCATATCCTTGCCAACATTTGCAGTTCCCTGTTTTTTTAATATGTGCTGTTCTCACTGGTGTAAGGTAATATATGATTGTGGTTTTTATCTGTATTTCCCTGATTACAACTGATGCTGAACATTTTTCATATACCTGTTGGCCATTTGCATTTCTCCTTTGGAGAAGTGTCCTTTTTTGCTCTTCTGCCCATTTTGTGACTGGTTGTTTACTTTGTTTTTGTTCAGTTGTGTGAGCTCTTTGTAGACCTTTGTGATCAGTCCCTTATCAGTGAGTTGTATGGTGTGCAGAAATTTTCTCCAAATCACTAGGGCATTTCTTTGTTTTGGTTAATGTCTCTTTTGCTGTCCAGAAACTTTTTAATTTGATGTAGCTCCAGCTGTTCATCTTTTTCTTCACTTCCTTTGCATTGGGGGATATGTCTTTAAAAATATTACTGAGATATATATCATGTTTTGCGGAAAAAGTCTTTTTTATGTTAAACAGATTATTTTTGTTTATGATGATCTATTTAGAAAAACAGGACATTACCCACAGATAGATTGTTGAAGAATGTATCTGTTCATTTGTCCATTCATCCATTTATTCATTCATTTACCTGTTTCACTATGTCAGATGGCCAGGTTCTCCCTTACTTTGGTGGCAACCTGTGAGGCTTTTCCTAGTCAAGGTTCCTTGTAAATTTCTTAAATTCAAGGCATTGACCTCGATCTAATCATTACCTTTATAAAAAATAGTTTACTTAACTAACTTACTCATTTTTTAAATTTATGGTATGTTAAATTTGTAGCACTAAATTTCCAAGACTATGGAATTTTATTGAATATTTTTTTCAGTGTCATTTCATTACATGAGAAATTAACACTCCTGACAACACTGAATAAAAGGGTGTAATTTGAGGACCTGTTTTATTATACATCATTTCGCATAAAGTCAGAGTTTTCAAAAACCTATCAATGATGTGAAGTGAGGATTTACAACGATGGTATGATATCATTATGGAGGTTACATATTTTTAGAAATATTAGTGTTGACTTTTATGATGGGTCAGAGGGTATAAAATTAGTGGTGAAAGTAAAGTCTTGACATCAGACATTGGAATTTTGAGTGAAATTGTCATCACAAAAATATTTGAAAGGAATAAATTTAGGCAGAAGTTGGGTGGAGGAGGCTGTTTCTTAGCTACCATTTCAATTGGGCTCAAAGGAAGACATGGAAAAGTAGAACAATCAACCTGGATTAGAATATAACAGTATCATTAAACATCTACTATGTGCCAGTATTACGCTTGACACTGAGCATAACTGTATCTATATCTTGAGACAACCCAAACAAGATAGTTTTATTTCCATTTTACAAATAAGGAGCATGAGGCTCTGAGAAATTAACAAATAAGCCAAAAGTTATATGTACAAGGAGAATTGCCCACAGGTCAGTAGGCTACAGAATCAGGATTTGAATTGGACAGTATGTTTTCCTATATAATTCTGAATCTTAAAAGTAAAACAAAGTTTTTAAAAGGCACTTACAAGTAATGCACAGGTAATATAGGTTCATGGTTAATGTCTAGATCATAGTTATGTCTGTCTCTTCTCCTTCTGGAGTTGTACCCTGCACTGTATCTACCACTACCAATTTGGTGATCTTTTATTGTTTATACAAAATTGTACAAATATGTATGTGTGGTTTTTAAAGGATTGTGTTCTTGCCCAACTCTACCAACCAGATTCTTGTAGTTGAGGATCCTTTCTTGTCCTATGTCAGCATTGCAATTAGCTTTGAAAGACCTCTAGGAAAGCACATTCCAAAAACTATCTTGGCCACTTGTTCTGTTATTTAACTTTTCTCAGGGACATTTTCTGTTGCATTAATCCAAGTAATTCTTCTGCAGCCTGAGTCATTTCTGACCTGCTCTGCCTACAAGGTTGGTTGAGAGCAGCTGTCACCATATCGGTGCAATCCCAGCTTGGAAGATCTCAAAAAAGAAATTAGTGTGGGGAATATTAAAATTGGAGCACCCACATAATTAAAAAAGATAATAAAAGCGACTGAAATTTCTTTAATTCTTTTTTTAAGTGGGTATAAAATAATCTAGTAGCCAATTCAGAATTCTAGAAATTGAAAGATTTTCTTCATTGTGACCTGTTGTTTTTAATTTTGCAATTTCAAGTCTTCTACATATGTATAAACAGAATCCATTTAGCTTTAGAGTCAATTTTCTATTAGCATTTTTAAAAAAATCTATAGCCATACTTTATTCATCCTCACACCTACTCACAAAATAGGAGTGGTACTTCTAACATATAGATTTTTTAACTGCTACTTCTAAGATAACCATACATTAAAGAAATTTCACTTTATTTCATTGTTGCTGCAGAATATAAATTTGCTAACAGTTTGTCATGTTAGGCACTGTACTGGATACTTATATTTCAACCATATTATCTTAAAAGCAGTTCATGAAGTGAGTATGATTTTTAGCCTCAATTTCCAGATCAGAAAAATGGGCTACAGAGAGATTGCTTGTTTGTTCAAAGAGTCACTTGCCAGTGTAGAAATCCAGAATTGTTCAGTCCTAAGTTTTGTCTTAATCACTTCACTAAGCCAATGTGACATTAAATTGAATTTTCTTAACCTACCAATAGTACCTTAACTGCCTGATCAGCATCAGTGAGAAGACAGATCAAATCACTAACTAAGGAAGTTGTCCATTTGCCTTTAATAGCTTCTAATGGAATGTTTATTTTTTGGTAAATTTCTGAAAGCCAAAAGTTTTTGCATGTTTGCTATTTAATATGTCAAATATAATTGCATGTAGCACATGTTTAATACTCCCAGTGTCTTTAGAATAATTTGGGTCCTTTTAAAATTTTTCTCAAATTGTATTTAACATTTTCATTAAGAAATTCCTCAGATGACAAGGGAGCAATAATTTTGCATTTTTAAAAGTACAGATTTTAACTCTAAATTAAGTTACTAAAGAGAATCCTACAAAATTTAAAAATCTCTAAAGAAATGAGATGGAAATAAGGACTCTAGAAAGAATAATGACCCATGAGTTAATTCCACTTTTTCTACACATCTTAATTTGAAATATATGGAATTGCGAGAATCAAAACTTAGTTTGTTAAAATTTAAAAAAATGCTAAAAGATGTAAATCTTTTATCAGAATAGCCAGTCCTCTTAAACTTCTCTTTATCTGACACCAATTGCAAGTTTGAAGAAATTCCTAAAACTATTCTCATGCTCTGTAATTCACTAGAAAGAGTCACAGCATTTATTTTCACTAATGGATATGGCGTATTACAGGGTAAGTTGTATTTAGGACAAGCCAAGGTAAAGATGCAGAAATCTAGAAGAGGACCAAATACTGTATTTGTGATTATTCCCACAAAGGTACTAGCCAGTTACTCCTTTTGCCAAGTGACAGTGTGCATAGAGGCCAGGAAGCTAATCCCAGTCTTTATTGTCCTAAGTTTTACTGGGGCTCATTCACACACTGTCTATGTGCCTGACCTTTTCTTTCCAGCATCTACTGGAAGTCAGGTTAATATATTTAGTGTGTAGTTACTTTGTCAGTTGGAACTAATACAGCGTGTCCAAATCTCCCATCATAAATGATGTTAGACTGTCACTTGTCAAAGCTCCCAGGCAAACAAAGATACTTCTAGAAGTAGCATAAACTAAGTCAATGGTAGTGGCCCATGTTTCTCTTTGGATAAGGTTATTTCTTCACTGAATAAAATTTTACACTACAGGCTATTGTAGAACGGAATACTATGCTTTTCTAAATAATATATTTCTTTTTCAGTAATCAAAATTGAGTATTTTCCTTATATATGGTATGTCAAACCTATAGCAAGTATACAAATTGTGGGGGTCTATAAATCCATGCCTTTGTTTAACTGAACACATTTTCTTTTCTTTTCTTTTTTTTTTTTTTTAAAGATTTATTTATCCATACAGAACTGGGACCCAGAGGTGCAGGGGCGGTGAGAGGCTTCACCAGAGACAGAGCAGGGAGCAGAACAGGCAGATTGACAAAGTACACTGCTGAGGGGAGCAGCAGGCGGGTCAGGAGAGGTCTGCCACGCCATGTGGATCTCCTCCGGGGCAGGCAGGGATCGAACTCATGCTGAAGTGGCTTAAGCTTCTTTGTGCTGTACTTTAACCCGCTGCGCCACCAGGGAGGGTCCATTTTCATTTTTTTAACTTTTAAGTTTTCATTTGACATACCAAACATCTAATAAAATAATTGATTTTCAATAAGTTGACTATTTGTATAATTGGTTTGGGAGAAAGTTGATTTTTACTAAATAAAAATGCCTCTCAAACTCTAGAGGGAACCAGATGATGGATGACCTATTATTACAGATTGCTAAATTCTACTCTGATATTCTGATGCAGAAAGTCTGGGCTAGAACCCTGAGAATCTACACTCTACTAAGTTCCCAGATGATGCTGATGCTTTTGGTTCAGGAATCAAACTTTGAGAACTTCTAGACCAGAGAGTGTGATATATGCAGATGAGAGGAGAGTTGTTGAATTGAAGTGAGGCAGAAAAAAAGGGCAGAAAAAAAAAAGTCTAGAGACAAAATTGTAACTGTCCATGCCCTGTTGGTAAGTGTTTAGGCTTACTACATATTGATGGTAGCAGTGAGACTGTAGGATTGAGAGAATGAGTTGAATGAGTGGGCTAAATACAGTTATCCTAAGGAACAGCTATGGTACTAAATGAGAGTCTGTGCCAGAAGTGTACAGTTCTGTATACATGTTACTTTAGCTGCCAGATAGAAAAAGATTTGCAGATAGCTGTGTGACTGAAGTGTTTCAGAAACAAAATCAATCTTCAACTTAGAAAATTTTTTCTTCGTTAGTTTCTGTAGGGCTTTGTTTTAGTCCCTTGCCTTTTAGCTCCATAATTCTGTTTTTCTTTGTTTCTCTTCCATTTCAGGCAATGTTCAGTCTTTGTATGGTGGAAAGTGGAGCTGATGAGGTGAATTTACATGGTGTGACCAGCCTTGGCTTGAAGCAGGCTCTGGAATTTGCTTACACAGGACAGGTACGGACCAAGTACAATGTGAGAGGCTAAACATTTTAATCAATGCAGTAGAGATGATCCTGGTAGTATGAGATTTATTTACTTCTGTTATATGTTTCGCTGTTAGAAAAAGACTTTGTAAATCATTTGACAAGATTCAACATCCATTTATGATTAAAAAACTTAAAAAATAGTAATAAAGGGAACTTACCTACACATAATAAAGGCTATATAGAACAAGCTCACAGCTAGCATCATATTAAATGGTAAGAAATTGAGAGCTTTTCCTTGAAGATTAGACAAGGATGTCCACCATCACTACTAGTTTTCAATTTATTATTAGAATCCTTGCTTAAGTAGTTCATAAGAGAAAGATGCAGCAGGAAATCAAATTGGGAAAGAACTAAATGATTGCTATTTGCAGATGACATAAAGATTACACTAAAAAACTTCTAAACGTATTAAGTCAGTATAGTGAGATCATAGGTTGTGAAATCAATTTACAAAAAGAGACTGCATTCCTATATGCAAACAATGAACTAGAATAGAAAGAAATCCATTTACTGTCACTTCAAGAAGTATTGGTGAGGGCATAGAAAAAGGAATGGTTATATGTTGTTAGTGGGAATCATAGCTGAACCTTCCTTTACAGAGAATGCTGTGGAAATTAGAATATGATGATCTAAAAGCCAAATTTGTTTATCACTAAAATTGTTGTAGAACTTGTATGTGATCTAGCAGTTCCACTCATAGTTATTTACCTCCAGAAAATTGCAAAACCTTTAAAACCCCAGTGCAGTACTATTTAGAATGGCCAAGTTATGGAAACAATCTAAGTGCCCGGTGATAGATGAGTGCATTAAGGACATGGGGAGTATATACACAGTAAGACATTACTCAATTTAAAAGAAAAAGTGAACTGTTGTAATTTGTGATAATATGCATGGAACTGGAGGAAATAATGCTAAGCAAAATAAGTGAGAAGGAAAAAGACAGCTATCAGATGGTGTCCACTAATATGGAGACTATAGAAAAACAAAGGGTGAGACAAAAATAAACCAAAAGCAAACCATAGATCTGACTGTAAAACTGGTAAAACCAGAGGAGGGAAAGGAAAATAGAGAAAAGAGGGAGGGATCCAATCGACTATGGTGGAGAACCTTGGTGGTGAATGTGTGTGGTTTCATCCAAAAGCAGTGAAACATTGTCTCTGAATTATGTACAGTGTTATAAATCAATTATCACCTCAAAAAAAGGAAAGTGACACATCTGTTTGATTTGTAACTGAGGTATAGGAAGGTAGGTAAAGCAATTTGATTTTAAATATGATCCAGTGAGCACTATATTTACATCTTATCTCAGTGGCTTCCTCATATAGTCTTACATGCCCTAAAGAACTATCAAGTGGGAAAGAGCTTGAAGATAACTTGAATTTCACTGTTCTTATTGAAGCTCAGTGACTCAGTCCTGGCATTATTGCCTTAAAAACAAGAACAACTTTTTTTTAACTCAAAAATGCTAAGTCTAGCATCTTGGCACCTTGTCTTCCACACATACCTCAGAGTCAGGGTCTTAAGAATTTAGATTAGAATGTAATGGTTTGAAAGCCAAATTTGTTCATCACTAAAATTGTTGTAGAACTCACAGGGATCTCTGGAGAACATCTGTTTTCTTTGGAACCTATCCAACTATATAAACCCAGATAGAGACTCCTCTATAAAGTTTTATTCTTTGGTTCTGTTTTACCCAACTTATGTTTAGTTTCTTATATGCAAAAATAAGGGCCTCTTTTAGCAGGATCACATCTTACTATAGGAGCAAGTAATACACATAATCTTGTATCTGCATTGCGATGCGAGGCATAATAGAAGCAGAACATAAAATGGGGGATAAAAAGCAGCACAGGTTGACAGGAGCCATCAGTGCAAAACCTTACAGAGAAAGAAATATTTAGGTCTTGAAGATGTGGGGAGTTCACTTTCTGCTAAATTTCCTTCTTCACATGCTTATTGAAAAGTTTGATTATTGTCCACTATCTTTCCTGGAGCTATTAGTTTGAAATATGTTTTGTTTAATAATTGAGGCAACTGTGTCAGCTGAAATGAAAATAGTGGGATTAAGGTAAAAATCATTCTTTACGTAGCAAATGCAAAGTGTGAAATGCAAAGTGTGGAACTCAAAGCTAGAGTCAACCAGCCAAATTTCAGCCCTTGGGATGTTAAGTCAGTCAGTTATTGTTCAGATAGTTGCTGAAGCATGCTTCTAGTGAGCAGAGTAAATAAGTTGTTTTTTTTATGGCTTAAAAAATGTAATCCTGGGTCCTCCCTGGTGGCGCAGTGGGTTAAAGCACAGCACTGAGAATCTAAAGCCGCTTCCGCATGAGTTTGATCCCCGCCTGCCCTGGAGTTGATCCACAGGGCGAGAGGCAGACCTCTCCTGACCCGCCCGCTTCTCCCCTCAGCAGTGTACTTCCTCGATCTGCCTGTTCTGCTCCCCACTCTGTCTCTGGTGAAGCCTCTCACCGTCCCTGCACATCTGGCCTGTACCCCCAGTTCTGTATGCACAAATAAATAAATCTTAAAAAAAAATGTAACACTATTTGTTTAACTTCAAAGCATTCCAGCATTGTAAACATACCAAATAAAAGAGAAAATTTACAAATTGTATTTCATTCAGAAGTTTCTTGAATGTTCATCGAGGCAGTGGTTCTTTGCTGACAATGAAGAGTTCCACAGTTTGTTAAAAAAAAAAAAATTAAAACTAGTGTACAGAACTAAAGACAACAAAATGATTCTCATGCCATCTCACCCTCACACCTCACCTCCCCTCCCCGTGCCACATACCCCTTTTCACAGATAGGAGTTGCAGCAGAATGCTGTTACTATATTAAAAAATCAAGAGAACTTGAACCTAAATGGATGCCCACTACAGTGCCCTCAGATCTAAACTCGCAGTAAGGTCCTGGAGTTCTGCCCCTGCAGAAGGCGTCTCCCCTCACAGCCTCATCACCACATGGCGAGCATGCTAAGCATGGTTATGTTTAGCATAACTCCATCCATTTCCATCCATGTTGTTGGTCTTGGTCATGTTGTTCTTTTTTACACACCATGGATATGTATGGCTGATGACTCAGGATTCCTTGCCAATCAGTTAACCCCGCCTTACAAATTAAATTAAAGAAAAGTGTCTATAAATACCTGGTTACAGCAACAGCAAAATGCATGGAGCCTTTTCATGAGGAAAAATGTTGCGTGATTTATACAACTCTGATACCATTTCAGGGTGCTCCAGACACCCAGACCACTTCATGGAAACCACTGGCAATTCCTAGAACATTTAAGGGCTAGGATATGAACATGATCCAACCGTGTGATTCAGTCTAAGGAGGGCAACACACATGGCTCAGAGTAAATAGGTGTTGATTATGGCGCTCCCCTACTCTAAGGAATTCACAAGGAGACAGAGAAATAGGTTTTCCTTTCTTTTTTTTTTTTTTTTAAAGATTTATTCATTTGTGCATACAGAACTGGGGTACAGGCCACAGGCTCAGGGGCAGCGAGAGACAGAGTGGGGAGCAGAACAGGCAGATCAAGGAAGTACACTGCTGAGGGGAGCAGCGGACGGGTCAGGAGAGGTCTGCCACGCCATGTGGATCTCCTCCGGGGCAGGCGGGAATCGAACTCATGTGGAAGTGGCTTTAGCTTCTCAGTGCTGTATTCCAACCCGCTGCACCAGCAGGGAGGGCCGGTTTTCCTTTCTTTAATCTACTTTCAAATTCTTAATTTTTTTTTTTATTGAGGTAACATTGTTTCCAACAGTAGATATGATTTAGGTTCATACCCTCTCAAATAGATACTGCCATGCCTCCTACCCCATCAAAGCACCACAGTCCTTTATCCTAGGCCTTAGACCCTCTCCCCTACTTTGTTCCCACAACCCCTTTCCTTCCTCCTTTACTATCCTGTATTCTGCAGTAATGTTTCTAGGGTTTGTTTTGTTTTTCTCTATATTCCATATTTGACCAAAACCTTCAGATATTTGTCTTTCTTCTTGTGACTTAGTTTCACTTAGCATAACCCCATCCATTTCCATCCATGTTGTTGTAAATGGTAAGTTCCATATCACTGACCATATGTGACAATATGTGCCAGCCAGGGAAACTTATACAGGCCTTTAATCCAAAGTTTTTATGGAGGCTCAGTCACAAAATGCCACAAATTCATTTGGTGTGGCACAAAGATCTATGAAACATGAACTGGAGATAGCAGACCAGGAGCTGACTTTGGAAGAGTAAGGAAACTACTTGGGAAGAAGGAGAGGCATATCCCATTGCCTCAAACTCATGTGCTTCATGTGGTCATGTGTTACCTTTATGAGAAAAAAGAAAGCCAAAGGAAAAAAGTGTATATGTATGTATGTACAATTTGTTAAAGGAGGCTTAGGGAAGCATTGGACATTTCAGAGAGTAGATTCTTGATGGTTTTCTCAGCCTGGAGGCCTTCCAGTATTCAGCTCACTGGGCTTGCTGTGCTTATGTTCTTATTTATGAACATCATCTTTCTTGGACAATATCCATAGCGGTTTGCCTTCTTAAATACCAAAATGCTTTTTAATATTTTTTTTTCCCTCTGAGTGATGAACACAAATAATGGCAAATTGCGAAATTCTAGTGTATTTGGGGAATGCAACAAGTTACTATCTCTTACTACGGAATTGAAAGTGATACTATACAAAGAGTTGAGAATTTGGAAGCATGGATGAAAGCATGGTTCTTCAATTTCTTAATTGCTGAATGGTTTGTTGTGGACACTTGCCAATATATGTTCGGTAGTCATGATATTGAGATATATAGAGATTTGTAAAAAGCAGGGTTAACATTGAATATATCTACCTATAGCTCTTTCTACTGACAAGTGATTAGACATTTAGTCAGTTGTAGTAAGCATAGTATAAAATGTAAGTATTTTAAGTGTCTGAAAATTGTTGCTGTCTTGGGAGAGATTTTGGAAGTACAGAGTGGG